GTACTCGTAGATATAGACACAGCGTACGTACAGGTGTAGGTGTAGACGTAGGTAGAGGTACAAGTAGATATAGACATAGTGTACGTACAGGTATAGGTGTACATGTAGATGATATAGTTATGGGTGCAGGTATAGGTATAGAAGTAGATACATACGTGTGGGTGTTTATGCGTCATTAAGGGAGACCAGAGCACCCTACAGAGGAATGAGGAGGATAGAAGGCCTCAGCCTTTGTAGAAACTGACTCTGCTCGTCCCTTAACAAGTCAAACCCCAAAACAAGCACCAGACAGCCACCTCAAGACAGACCCAGTCATCTCCTTTAATCTGAGGAGCACTCTCTTGACCCTTATCTGCCCACAAGTCCAGGAAAGCTCCTCAGATCCACGGGGGTCTCTACCTGTGGAAAAGTCTAGATTAGTCCAGATTCAGAAAGCATTCTTATGCTCTCCACTCCTTCCTCCATGTCCCCTTGAGATAGAAATACCTGCTAAAGACGCCCTGCTTCTGTATTCATTTTCTCCCAGATTTTTAGACATATTTGGGACAGAATTGTTTCTTAGGTAGAAAACAATAAAGAGCTTTAAAGACTTTTGAATTCGAACCTCAGGTAAAATGTCCTCAGAAGGCAGGGATGGGGAGGATGCTGGAGAAGGGATGTGCTCACTCAGCTGAACATCAAGAGAGGAGCGCAGTCAAAGGCAGAGACGATCTGAGTCTGGGGCCTCATGCTCGCCTGGAGCTACCTGGACACTGCTGGAGGCTGGAGACTTCCTCTCCCATCACCCAATTTATGTTGGCCTGGGGGACTCACTGGGTTGTTCTGTTGTGTGCCTGGGTTTAAAATGTTTCAACATCAAACATAGGATTATTTGCTTACTTATTTACTTATTTAGTCAGCTTTTGTTTTTGGCAGCTGGCCAGTAAGGGGATCCCAACCCTTGACATTGATGTTATAAGCACCACATTTTAATGGAGTGACCTAGCCCTTAAAATGAAATGTATTAACACATAAAATATCTGAAGCAGCTCTGCACCTGCCTTCTTGTTCAGTTTCACGTGTCCACCTGAGAGAGAAGAGGTGGGATAAAACAGGCAAAAAAAATGGGTAGGAGCTGCGCACTCAACTGTGCAGTTCTAGAACAAGGCTACTCCCTGATTTCTGGGAAAGAGTCACTTATGAAAAAAGGAAAAGAAATAATAAGTACACTATGTCCTGAAGTTCAGGTCGAAACTATAAAAAGTTACATAAAGATTCAGAAGAGATTTAGAAGAATTATCAAGAGATGGACTAATAATTGGCTAGACAGAAAGCAGTATTAAAAAAAAAAATAAAGATGGGTGTAAATGTCAGTGTGCCCCCCAGGGAAAGAAGCCTTCCTGACATCAGAAGATCTGGGTTCTGGCTCTGGTCTTCCCACTAATTTGCTGTTTGACCTCAAACAAGGAATTTAACTTCTAAGCCCCTCGGTTGTCTGTAAAATGGGCATAGTGTGGTCCTATTTACATTATGTGACTGTGAAAAGCAACCAAAATAACTGATATGTATACAAGTATAAATTGCTGTACTTTTTGTTTTTTAATGAATTCTCAGAATCCGTGCTCCAATGCAGCTCTTCAAACATTCTTGGAAGTGGGTGCCAGAGAAAATAGATTCAAAAGCTAATAAAAGAGAGAAATGGCCATCGGTTTTTCAAAAAAAACATCTTCCTAGTCAGGATTTTAAAAATCCTTCGTTTAAAAGGGGCCTTCATCCTTCATTCAACCGATACCGAACAAAAAGAACATGAAAGAACCCATTTTCCAGGAAAACAGTGTAGTAGCAGGCAGAGAGCATTTTGCCAAGCGCAGAAGGCCTGCCGGGCCCCAGGACAGGTGACAGGGTGGCCCCTTACCTCTTCAGGCTGGGTGTTCCCCTCCTGCCAGACATACCCCATGGTGATGAAGCTCAGGACCAAGTGGGCCAGGCGCTGCTCGCGGTAACTCTTGAGGAACCGGCAGCTCAGGAGGGGCATCTGTTCAGAAGAAGTTCCAACGACCATCAGCGGAGGGGCTGGGGCGGGGGTAAGGGTTCTGTGACTTGACGAGTCCCTCGAGGGTGAGGAAGCCGGTTCTGTTTCAGGGGAGGAACTCAGAGCCCTCCCGCGTATCTGCGCGTCCCCTGGTCCTCGGTCCCCGCGGTGCAGGAGGGGTGCACGTGGCGCTGCTCGGGAACCGCCTAACCGCGCCACCGGGGCCCCAACTTGTCCCCATGGTTGGGCCAGACGCTCCTCTCCATCATGGCTAGAGTAACTCCAGATTCGAGATAATTAATCTGTTTCATATGCGTCCCCCATGGCAGCTTTTCTTTTTGGCGTCCGGTAGGTGAGGGGACCTGAACCCCTGGCCTCGGTGCTGGTGCTGGAGCACGCGCTCAGGCCCTTCCTTGCCACTGACCGGCCAGCCCCGCTCGGACGGCGACTCTTACAGTCCTGGCTGGTCAAGGTGCTTCTCCTAACCCGGTATCACCTGGCCCTGCGACAGCGCTGCGGAGGGGGCGTCACTCTGTCCACTGAACACTTGAGTCAAGTGACAGAGGTGGCCAAATCCCCGCAAAAAGGGGCCGGGTCGTCGCTGTGTCCGGACACCGCCGGCAACTCTGCTGGGTCCCCCGCCCCATGTGCCACCCGCATGCCCCACGCCCGTTTCCTCCCCGTCGCATGAGTGACTGCAGCGTCATCCGGAGGCGTGAAGGCGGTGTCGTTGGAAGCAGCGCCCGCATCGCTTGTTATCAGTGACAGTCCCCCAAGCTCCTAGTTCTGCCGGCGGCCACACCAGCCCCTGGAGCTCCGGCCTCCAGGCGACCCCGTCTCCCCTCCTCCCCGTCCCCGACTGTAGACGGACACCGGTCTGGAGCTCCCCGGCCCGCACGGCGGAGGGCGGAGGGGCGCGTTCTCGGTGGCCGCGCGGACCCTGGCGCCCAGGACAGGCCGGCAGGGCTCGAGCGCCGCCCGGCAGCTGCTGGGCTGGGCTCTCCCTCCTGTCCCGCTGGGCCGGGCTCTGCCCCCGCTGTCCCCCTGGGCCGGGCTCTCCCTCCTGTCCCCCTGGGCCGGGCCCCCCTCGGCGCCACCGCGCGGATCCGTCGTCCAAGTCCCAGCCGGCGGCGCCCACAGCCACAGGCGTTTATGAAGCACTCATTGCAAGGCTGTTACTAACGAGTGTCCAGGCGCGACGCTACAAACGTCCCGTGCAAGACTGTATTCCGTCAGAGGACAGAACCGAGACTCACGCAGGTTAGCGTGTTTGTCCGGGGCTGCAGAGCCGGGGGCTGAGCCCGGTCTCCCAGTCACAGTCCTGATGTCCCCTCGCGTCAGCACTGCCCGGGAATGTGCGAGCCATGTGCTTCGATTTAAATTCTCCAGCAGCCACACACACACACACAAAAAACGTAAAAAAGAAACACGTGACATTAGTTCCAATAATATAACTTTCCTAAGCCAATATATAAATACTACTATCAAAATGTAATCAATGTAAAAATATTGAAATATTTTTCAGTTGATCTTTTTTTTTTTTCCGAAGGCTTCAAAATCCCGTGCCTGTCTTCTTAATTTGTCCCAGCCACATTTCCAGTGCTCAGTAGCCACAGCTACCTCAGGGCAGCCGCAGGTAAAGTACTAAGGTCCAAGCTGAGAAATGCTTTTCTGGCAGCTTTCTGCACATTCCAGAGGCCCAGCCTGGCCCCTCCAAGCAGACATACAAATAATAAACAAAGGGATTAAAAGGAAAAAACAGAAACAAAAAACCAGACACACCTCTGCGGTGGGACCCTTTTCCTCCACAAGCAAAGGTGAAAACGTTAGCGACAGAGTGTGTGTCACACAGTTAATATCTCCTCAGATTAAGGTGATGAACTTGATCCCACATTTCTGTTTTATTATAAGATGGAAAGTAAGTACTTAGCAGAAAGAGTTTAGCTTCATTTCTTCTTAAAACATTTTTAATAAATATTTATAGATATAATATGTACATTTTATATAATTATACACATAATGTAGATTTATATACATTAAAGATATAGGTACTGTTATACACCTTTTTTCCAGTAAACTATATAGCAAAGATATACATTGAGAGAGGTCACAGAGACACGCATACATTGTCATTTAACAGGCTGCATAGTTTTCATTTATTTAATAAATCTACTTATTAATGAAAATTTAGGTGATTTTTTATATTTTTTCTTTTTTATTTAGCTATTATTATGCTGAAAAAAAATACTATTCTTTTTCATCTTTGCCCTTTTAAACAAGTATTTCTGTAAAATAAATGCATAAAAATGGAATGGATGGATCAAAGCAAACTGATATTTCTTTATTGGACGTTGTGAAATTGCTTGCCAGAAAGATTGCACCTGTTTGCTCTCCTGCTTTCAACGTGCTTTTGTCCCTCCACATCTGGACTAGCACTATGCTAACTTTTTAAAAAATTGCTGTCAGTATAATAGCCAAAAACAGATATTTTGTTGCTTTCACTTGAATTTTTGGTTTATTCTTGGGATTGAACATTTTTGCATGTTTATTATCAATTTGAATGTTTCTTTCTATAGCTTAATTATTTATATTCTTTGCTATTTTTTCCTATTGATCATTCACCTTATTGATTTGGTGGAACACATTTTGTGTTATGGATCTTAATCTTTCTCTGGCAGAAATGTTCTAAATGTTTCAGGGCCGGCCCGGTGGCGCACTGGAGAGTGTGCCACTTGGGAGTGCGGCGGCGCTCCCGCCGAGGGTTCGGATCCCATGTGGAGACAGGTCCTGCTCACTGGCTGAGCACGGTGCGGGCGCAACACCGAGGGTTGCGATCCCGTTGCCGGTCCCCGGTACGGGCGCGACACCGAGGGTTGCGATCCCGTTACTGGTCAGTAAAAAAGACAAAAAAAATGTTCTAAATGTTTCTGTATTTTATCATTTGCCTTTTAACATTTATTTTGAATAAATAAACATCTAAACATTATTAGATAAAATAAATAAAATAAATAAATCATCTAAACATTATTTATATTATAGTGAGACACATTGAAAAGATATATTATTAAAGAATTACTATTAATACTATTTTTGCAGGTGATTAAAAATATTAATTATATTTTATTTCTAAACCAATTTGTTCTGAATCATAAATGACTTTGGGGACATGAGCACGTAATTATTCATCTCTCGTGACAGGGCATTTGACAGGTGTGAGATTGGACTAAAAAGAGAAAGGTACTCACTGGCTGAACCTTATCTTTCTTGATGATACTCCACTAACATTTTGACAGCTCTGTGTGTTGTTTTAGGATCTATCACATCTGCTCCTCACGAGTGATTTCTAACCGACTCAGTCTCAGCCTTTGGTGGTGAAACCTGAACGTGGTTTTATCTAGTTAGATGTTTTATAAGTAATTACAAGTAGGAAGAGAGGCCAACAGTGTTGTGTTAGTTTCCTGTGGCTGCCATAATAAATTACCACAAACTGAGTGACTTAACACAGAAATTTACTTTCTCACAGTTATGGAAGATAGAAGTTCAAAAATAAGGTTTTAGCAGGGCTGATTTCTCCTGGAGGCTCTGAGAGAGAATCTTTCCATGTTTCTCACTGAGCGTCTGGCAGTTGTGCCAACAGCCCTTGGCATAGCTTGGCTTGCAGATACATCAGTCCAGTCTCTGCCCCACCTTCAAATGGTGTTCCCCCCTATGTGTCTATGTCTCTGTGTCCATATTTTCCTCTTTTTTTGTAAGGGCAACAGTCATACTGGATCTAGGGTGTACCTGATTATAGAATGACCTCTTCTTAACTTGGTTACATCTGCAAAGACCCTATTTCCAAATAAGGCCGCTTCCACAAGTTCTGCATGGACATAAATTCTGCGGTGGCACTATTGAACCAGTACAAATGTTAAGGGATTGATTTCAATGCTGTGCTATGAGGAGTCCCAAATTAAGAAGTATTTTTCTTCATTTAAAGTAGTTCAGTCAAATACAGCCTGAGGAGACGCTAGTGTGAGGGCCACAGAGTTCACAAATAGGTTTCTATTTTGTCCTCCTGCCAACTGTCCCAGATGCCCCCTTGCTTTGCTTCTGTGCTATTGTGAGGGGGCGAAGAGGGACTCCAGGGGCGTCATCTTTCACTTTGGTTGATTGCTTTGCATGGTATATAAACTCATTCCTTTATCTCACCCACAACTTTCTTAATATGGTCTAAAAATCCTTAAAGTTTTTATTCTGTTATTGGCACTTTCCCCTGTTTTCCTGGACTTAGAGATATTTTCTTTTTCTTTCTTTTTTCTATATTTCTTTGGTCATGTCAATGAAACTTTTTATACATCAAGCAAAGAAATTACTAGTTTGCTGTCTTCAAAGACATTGTGGACAGTTTCTCATTCATCTTTCACAGGGTTCTTAATCTGGTGCCTTGCACACAGTGGGCATTCAATAAGTATTTTTAAGTGAATTTGTAATTATGCATATTAAATATGAATATATCATCAAAGGAGAATTTTTTTTTTTTTTCCGTGTCCGGCAATGGATCGCAACCCTCAGTGTCGCGCCCGTACCGACCGGGACTGGCAACGGGATCGCAACCCTCGGTGTTGCGCCCACACCTCGCTCAGCCAGTGAGTGGGAACCGGTCTGTATGTGGGATCTGAACTCTTGGCGGGAGTGCCGCCGCGCTCCCAAGCGGCGCACTGTAGCAGTGCGCCACCGGGCCGGCCCCTCAAAGGAGAATTTTGGAGGGGAATTTCTTGTAGTTCTGAAATTATGTGGCACTCCACATTACTGTTATATAGCAAGAACCATGAAAGGGACACCCAAAGTCATTTAGTCCTCACGACATGAGGACTAGAGACCTCGTACCACGAGACCAGAATTTCTCCCGTTTTATAAATAAAGAAGTGGGATCACAGAGTTAAATAACTTTCTGAAGGTTACATGGCTACTAAACCAAGATTCAAACCCAGGTCTTCCTAAATCAGAATCCGTGTTCTTCCTATGACATTTTCTTATCGTTCTATGTGGGGTGATGTCAGTTTTTATGAAACCAAGAGGTTTCATTGTTTCTCACCTACTCTTACAAAAAGTTGCTCATGTTACCATATGTTGCTCATCACGTACATAAGTATATGTAAATGCTTATATGGTATTTACAGGTTGATCAGTTATTTCTGCAGAACTCATGGCCAGCCCTGATTTATAAGTCAGAAATTCAACCATTCTGTGAGTCCACCACAACAAAATCAGGGTAGACCCAGGATTGAGGACCCCGAGAATTTCCAGGTTTGTCTTTCCCAGGCTGCCTCTTCTCGAGTGGCTTGTTTACAATTCCCAGCCAGCTTCTTTAAGCAGACATTTGGTGAGTGCTTAATACACGCCCGGCATTATTTTATGCAGGCTCTGGAAGCTTTACAGAAACTTCCGTGTTGTGTCAAGAACGTGTTCTTCTGTTATTCAGGAAGGACGAGGCAGCTTTGGTGACAACCACAATGGCAGTGAACGGTTGCCCAGGTCAATTGACTCATTTTCACAAGGCAGAGAAAAGAAACTTCGTATGAGGATCAAAACAAGATGGTGAAGAGAAGGGGGTGAAGAGAAGAGTATAAAGAGGCTACCTTGTTCACATGAGTGCGAAGCTGGTGACTCTCAATCAGGTGAGGAAGGTCGTTGGCAATTTCCATCCAAGGCCTGTAAGGATCTGGAAGTTCTTTCTGCATTGAAAACAGAAGCATGTCAATATTCTAGACCTCTCTGGAAAGCACCTTCTGGGAGGAGCTGCTTTTGGATTTCAGTCTTCAGGAGAATTCCAGTCAATTCAGTTCCATGAACACGGGGAGTTCACTATATGCTAGGCCCAGAGCAGATCCACAGGTGACTAAAATACAGTTCTTGTCTTTAAGGAGCATATGGTCTAGTAAGGGAGAAGAAGTGTAGTTAGATCATACTGATGCAGGCCTAAGCTTAAGAACCTGCAAAGAAGAAGAGGTTAATTCTGTCAGCTCTTGTGTGGAACCAAAGGAAATTATGCAGAGAAATATGACAGCTGAGCTTGGTTTTGACTGAGGAAAAGAAGTGACTTTTCTCAGTGGAAATTTGAAGGAACGGTAAGAAAAGCAGAGAGACAGAAATGTGTGCTTCTTGGAACTACGTATGACTCGGTGCTGCTAGAATGCTCAAGAGAAAGGATGAGAGAAGTTTAAAACGTTAGGTCAGATGTGCTTTGTGTAGAATATACAGGGGGGGGGGGTTCTTTATGTAAGTTGGTGATATTGGTTTGATTTGAATTTTAGGAAGATAATTTTGTCAGTAGTCTTTTGAGACACACAGTCAGATTAGGAAGCCTTTGAAATACTGTTCAAGGGCTAAACTTAGGCAATGACAGTGAAGTTAGAAAGGAGAAGGTACATGTTCAAGATATATTTGAAAAATAAAATTGAAACAATGTGAGGATTAAATTTGGGGGAGGGGCATAAGGCAAGAAGATCTTTAGCCCACATAGCACCATTTGTGTGTCCATTCTGGACCTGTGCCTTAGCCAAGTAGGACATAGTCTGGGTTTCAGTTCCCCCAGCTCTAACCCAGGGGATGGCGAACTATGTTTATTTTTGTGAATTTTTATTGGAATCCAGCCACTCTCATCTGTTTACACATTGTCTATGGCTGCTTTCTCATTACAGCAGTACAGTCGGCAGGTTGCAAAGCTTAAATGACTTACTATTTGGCCTTTTAGAAAAAGTTTGCCAACCCTGATTTATCTCCACGATCTAGGCCTTTTGTGTGTATGTGTATGTGTGTGTGTGTTTAACCTGCACAACTGAATGTTGTGTCTCTGGGTTAAGAAGAAGAGGAACTGAGGGTGACTTCCATGTTTGTGAATTAGGTGATCTAACTAGTGTACAGGAACACAGACTGAAACAGAGATGATGGTCAAAGTCAAAGAGTCAGCATAAAAACAGTGAATTTATTTTCAAATATATTGAGCTTAAAATACCTGTGGAATCTAAAAATATGACTGTGCACTGAGCAGTTAGATATATTGTTTGAAGTTCAGGAGAAAAGTCATATTAGAAATATCAGGAAGCATAACTTCAGTAAAAACCCCACCTTGTGGTTAAAACTAAGGGAGCATGTAACTCATTCAGGAGAATGTGTGAAGCAAACTTTAAAGCAAGCCTGGATTATCACACTGGGGAACGCTCACAGGTGCGTAGGGGAACCAAATCCAGCAGTGCAGTAAGAGAGTTTTAGAACTCTCTTAGAGCTAAATGCATGAGAGACAGATACATTAACTACCCTGACCCGATTACTGTACAACATGCATATGTACCAGAATATCAGATTATACTCCCTAAGTATGTATCATTACAATGTGTAAGTTGAAATATTTTTTTTTTAATTATAGAACTTTTGAGCCAGAATAGAATGACCCTATAGCTGTCAAGACATTGGAGGATTTCACAGAAGTGGGAAATCATCAGAAGTTCAAATGCTTCATTAGAAAGTTGAAGTAAAATTTCTCCCTTTAAAAGACAAAACGAAACTAGGAAGTCACAAATATATCTTATTCTCTCTATATTCATGACACAGATATTTAGGTCAGGGTCGAAGAAGCAGAGTTCAAATTTTAGTGCTTTGAGGAAGTAAGAAAATAGAAAAAAATATAGGTTACTTTTTAAAGACAGTGATAAGGCATTAGCAAAGGGGACGTTTGTGTTGTAGAGTGATCTGTTAAGAGTGAGAAACTCGGGCAGTTGATAATCCGCTATGGCAAGGGGGAGAGATTGAAGGTAAAAGAGAGGGAGGAATTACAGGCAGAAGATGGTGAAGGGGGAAGGAGAGCAGGAGCTCACGGAGTGTCTGACCTTGAAGGGGCAGAAGGAAGGCGTGAGGAGGTGGATAGAGCCGGAGTTTGAAGCAGCTCAGTCTTAATGAATTTAACTTCTCAGCAAATGGGAGTGAAGATCAGGCTGTAGGTAGGACAGGCGTAGGTGTTAAATTAATTACAAAGGGGAAAGGAACGGCCAACTAAACCTAAACAAATACAAATGATATCGAAGCTACTGTGGCCAACAAAGCAGGGAAGGGGGATGGGGAGGGGGAGGGGGAGAGGCTGGTTAGTGGATGCAAAGCAGCTACGTAGAAAAGAAAGTTCTGCTGGTGAACAGCCAAGCTAGGGATCTATACTTGACAACAATTTGCTGCATGTTATCAAATCATTGGAGAGATCAAATGATCACACAGAAATGATTAGGTTTTGTAATGACAAATGTGAGATGATTACGTTTTGTAGTGATGAATATGCTAATTACTCTGATTTGATCATCACATATTATATACATGTATTAAAATATAACTCTGTACCCAGAAAATATCTATTATCAATACATTTTAATAAAAACAAAAGAAAAAATCAAAAAAAGAAGCTACACTGAGAACCCACAGAAGTGTGAAAACTATAAATTTGGAAAGGTATAGATCTATCAGTTGCCCATAGTCTCTTGTTGGAGGACCTCCAGCCCTCAGAATCTAAGATAAACCCGGATTCAGAATCCTAGTTAATTCATAACCTTGGTACATCCAACATGCCATTCACAATCTCTGAAAATTAGACTTACCTTAATTGTCATCTTTCTATCTTTGACCCTGAATCAGTTCAGGACAAACTGGGCACATTTTATTAGCTTTAACAACAAATAAGATTACACCCAATATAATTTTTGTACTGTACTACAGATGTGGGTGTTCATAGAAAGTGTTGGGATGCATAAAGCTGTTACCCCAAAATATGGTGCTTCGACATGCTGGAGTAAAAACACAGCCTCAAGGTCTGACACCCCCACACCCCATCCTGTCCCTCAATCCTCTGTCACACTCCACAGCACAGGATGAAGCTG